CTTATTTTTGTCCAGCTTTAACATCGGTATCGATATCGGTTATCGGCTACATGAGTTTTAAAATATCGGCATATCGGATATATATATATATTTTTTTTTTTTTTCTAATGCATCTCCTTTTTCAACCTCATATTTTATGGAGGTCAACAATTTTTTTAAGAAAAAAAAAAAAAGTACTATTCTAATTGGTGGAGATTCATCAGAACCAGTTTTAGGTGTGGACTTCCAGCCAGCTGCAGCTCTGCAAAACCACCACCAGGTGTCAGCAGAACGCTTGACTTCACTTCATTGAAATTTCTTTTGGTTCTTTTCATCATCAGGAACTTATTTTATCATCACAATACTTTTGAATCATAATCATCTAAATGAATAAGAATTTGCGACAAAAAAATAAAAAATTAAAAATACATTTTTCATCTTTTACTCCATAAGCAAATTCAATGCAGTTACTACGGGATTTTTAGTGTTATAAATCTTTCTTTATGCACTTGGCGTCCTGCAGAAACCCATTTTGAGTTTGTATGTTTTCAAGAGTAATGGTGCTGATTACTGGGGGGATGCATTCACTGATATACTGATATATAGTTTTTAAAGAATGAACAAAGGGTGTTATAATCATCGTTATCAGGATAGTACAAAAAAATATAGATTTTAAGGCTATATTACTCAGCCCTATAAGGAAACAAATATTACAACCAAATTTCACACATCCAATAAAAACAGGGCTAGCTTCAGTTTAACATGTTTATTACAATACGTACATTTCACATTTGAGCTTTGACCTCTCGTTGCCCTGCGCTGACTGTAGAGGTGCTCCACATGCACCCGCCTTGGACCTGCTGAAGCCGTACTACAGCTCCTCCACCGGGCGCTGGTGAAAATGTGTGGCTATCGTTGTGATTTACTGCTCGTCACTACAACTCTTATAAATAAAACCTTTTTTTTTTTTTAACTCTGTCTCTCTTAAAACTCCACTGTTTATGTTAGCAACTGTACAAAGGAATGAAAACAAGAGGTACAACCTCAACTTGAGAAGTCAAAGAGGAGGAGGGAGGAACATTAACAGCGGGAACCCAAAAGGAGAAGAAAATAAAGCACAACACAGAAAGGAGGGATGCGTCGGATGAAGAGGTGGGGCGGGGAGAGTTTAGCGGGAAATGGTCCAAAGCAGCACGCCGTCACATCCCACCACTGATTTTTGTTTTTTTATTTTAAATAATCACTCACTTCACCAACCACCAGGCACTGATTCTTTTCAGACTGGGTAATGCAGGGCCACCAGAAGCTGCTGACGGACCACTGAACCACTGTTAGCCCCCCCCTCCCCTCCAACGGTTGGGTGACGTGCCGAGTGACAGAACCAAGCTTGAAGTCTGCAGATGAGTTAAAGATGAAGGACTGCTGATTAGTCTGGATGTCCAAAGCTTTTGATAAGCATGGCTTTCCATGGCTTCCATCTACAAAACATATTTACAACATAGATAATAACATCTACAAGAAATCTACATCCCCGCCCCCCCGTTAAACACACCGTGGGTTTTTACAAAACTAAGTCTTGTAAAGCAACCCTCCCCTACCTCCACCTCTCCCGGTCCAATCCAGCTCTGAGAGGAACCAAACAACCGCTCTGTGCAATGGGTTTCCCGCCCCCTTCCCCCAAAACAACAAACTCTCGACCCCAAAGTTCTCAGACCATGAAGGAATTTTGATTCTTCAACTTTTCAAGTTCTTTGATTTGCTGTCTCAGAAACAATATCCTGTGGGAGAGACGGAGAGAGGATGATCAGACATCAGGAATGAGAAGCGACCGAGAAGGCGGCGTTTTATTTTTCTTACCTCTGCTCCCGCAGGGTGGCTTGGATTTCACAGACTCGGACCAGAGAGCGCAGGTTTTTGAGCTCGGTGCAGTTCTCAGACATGCAGATGCTCCCCATGCTGTGAGCTTCTTCGCGTAGTCTGGATGCCTGTTTGATGATGGATGTTAAAGGAAAATTCCGGTTTTTAACACTTTAAGCCCATTTTCTGTAGTGTCCCGGAGGAAATCGAATGATCGACA